GGTGGGAATCAACTCTACCTCATGTCCAACCTTTTAAAATCTTCAGAAATTTTCAAGGATAAATGTCAATATTGTTCCTTTAAAGAGACTTTGACAAATGATCATGAGTAGCAGCTAACATCCTTTCCTTCACAAACTAGGTACACTGTAAGCAGTCTAAATATTGACATAATTTTTCTGAGGCCGTTTCTTTCACTTGAAAGCCATTGTTCTATCTCTTGGCCTCTCCCCGTCCTCCACCCCCCTAACTTGCCACGCTGACTAACCTTTCTGCCCAGCACACCCAGGTAGGCGGTGCTAGCTGGACCGGCTCTACTCAAACGGAAATAACCACTTAGGAAGTCTTTAAACATACACATTTGTGCAAGTTTACAAAAATCAGATATTTTCTCCAAGCAAACAATTACTACCAACAAGGGCTTTTCCTCCCTGTTTGAATAAAACCTATTTTACCCTCCCACAGGCTCTCGAAGACTAATACTCTCCAGTGCACACGGTCTCCCCAAAACGCAGTCAAACAAAGGGGGCGTTAGATGCGTTATCCAAGCTCTTCTCAAGTTGTATCTCTTTCCCTCCCTTCTTCTGTCCTTTGGGACAATTTAAAGTCTACAATAATGCACTATACATTTTTGTTGGCCACTGAATTAAATTCATTTGGTAGTTGTTGTTTTTCTAAAAGATAAAAAAGACAGACTTGGTAACTTAGTAAGGCAAAATGTGGAACTCTAAGTGACCAGACCAACTCTTCTCAGTGTGTGTGTGTGTGTGTGTGTACGTGTGTGTGTGTGTGTGTGTGTGTGTGTGTGTGTGTAGACTCCAGAAGAAAATCAGTACCTTTTGTTGGTGCTGAATCCTCTCTCCCTCAAGGAGCTGGGTGAGTTTTGCGTTTTCATCCAATGCTTTCAAAAGCTGTTGGTCGGGAGCAGAGCTCTGTAGCAGCAGGTGGCTTTGTCTCTTTAGCTTGTTTTGTTCAATGAACATCTGCAGAAGTTAATTACGAACATGTATATACCAGTCAATCTCACATATCTCAACAGAAACTTGAGCAAAAGGAAAGTGATGGAGTTTTTATCAAAATTTTCTGAATCCTACACAGTCTAATGGTTTTAGAAGTAAAGGTTGCCATGATTTCATTCATAACTTTTATACAATCTTCAGAACCTTTACGCTTGCCCCAACCAAGTACAATAACTGAGCCCTACATGTCCATTTTTAATACTGTATTATGGCTTTAAAATCCATTAATACTAACAGTAGTAGTGGTATTACTGGAACAGAGGCTGTTAGCTGATTCTTCTAGACTAGGGAGGCTCAAATCCCTGATGCATCACCATCTTGACTTGGAATTGCTGTATCCAAAATGGATGGTCACATTTTTGTTTTTTATTTATCATCATTTTTTAATATATTTTTATGGATTTCAGAGAGGGAGGGATAGAAACTACAATGATGAGAGAGAATCACTGATCGGCTGCCTCCTACACGCTCCCTTACTGGGGATGGAGCCTGCAACCCAGACTTGTGCCCTTGACCAGAACTGAACCAGGACCTTCAGTCCGCAGGCCAACGCTCTATCCACTGAGCCAAACCAGTAGGGCACATTTTTGTTTTTTTAAATGGACAAGTAGGAGTAGGAGTGGGGAAGGAACTTAACATTTTTCACTTTACACATTTGAGAATTGTTTGTATTTCTTACAAGGCGCATATGTATCTATTCCTTTCCTAATTAAATATATAAAGTAAATGAACTTTAAAATTTCACTTCTAAGTCTCTAGACAGTAGGCTCCCAAGGGCAGAGATCCTATTTGCCTTCTTCACCATTATATTCCCACTGTCGGCAGTGTCTGGTTTAATAAGATGTTTGCTGACTGCACAAAGCACAAAATGCAAGACAGCAGTACATCTCATTAAACTAAGTCATGTAATCTTTGAGCAGCAGTTATCTGTTAAAAACCTGAGAATCTGTAAACCATTAAAAGGGAAGATAGACTGGTTCTAATCTAGCTTTATCTTTAAAAACAGTTCTCTTCTCGCTATTGTGCAGGTCAAATCTAGATGCTGCAAAATCACTGAGCACCACTGCAAGGATTGATGCTAGGGTGACGTAAGTGCCACCGCTCTTCATGTCCCTCCTCGAACATCTGTCTCCTCACTCTGGCATGGCACACCACCACTCGTTTTCATATCCTTAGTGGAATCTTGCTTCTCTCATCTATCCTCTCTGCTACTGCATGGCCTTCATGTTTTCTTTGAGCTGCTTTGTTTTCTAAAATCACTCTACAAACAACAGATGGAAAATTGAAAATGTCTCTCAAAGTAAGACCCTGGCATTCAGGTCAAAATCAGCCAACATTTTCAGTGTCGCAATGGAGGCATCTTCATGTTACCTCTACACTCCCTCCTCCTCGACTGTTTATTTAGCTCCATTATTTCTATTGCTGCAGCTTTTTCCAAAGGGCGCTGACACACTCCAATTCTTTTCGCTTTCTTCCAAGTCATAAGAGAACCTTATTTACTCACCTTTCATTAAACTCTCTGAATAAGATGAATCATAATATTTCAAATCAAATCTTCTCGGGCTAAACCTTGCATAGAGTTCATTGCTAGCCCAGCTAACATTCAAGCACATAATCCGATTTTCAAATGTCATCGGCATAACCCCTGCTCTGTCTTCTTTCTCCGCTACAGACACTTACACCTAAGACTGTTTTACATTTCCTTGGCGACTTTCCTTCAACCTACAGTACGTACACAGATTCAAAAAGGTTTCTCCATGATGGAGCTCTCATGCAGATCAGCTCTCCATCCTGAGTTGTTAGGGTTCAGCCAACTGGTACCTCATCATTTCCCTGGAAACCAGTCCCAGAGCCACAGGACACCAAAGAGCTACCTGGCAACAAAGGTAAGCCGAACACGAGAAGCTCAAAGCTCATCTCTAACATGAGAGGAACATCATTGCTCTGGTGAAAGGCTGAGACAATGGATGTACAACATGGCAACGTTCCACAGCAAGGAGAGGAATCAACTCACACAATGAGAGCACTGGAGAGCGGCCATGGTACTGCTACTTGAGATGGTATACGGAGAGGTAACCTAGATGCGTAAGGCTATTTGAAACCTACACAAGTCCTCAAGCCGGACCTTCCATCACAAGTTACAAATGTCCCTAAATATAATGTCTTTCCTCTATGTCGCATTTTATTTTATTTTTTTTGCTTAATCCTCACCTGAGGATATTTTTCCATTGATTTTTAGGGAGGGTGGAATAGAGATAGAAACATCAATGTGAGATGTTGCCTCCTGCAGGAGCCCTGACCAGGGCCTGGGCTGGGGGGGAACCTGCAACCAAGGTTAAGTGCCCTTGACTGGAATCGAACCTGGGACCCTCTGATCCACAGGCCAACGCTCTATCCACTAAGCCAAACCAGCCAGGGCCCTCTATGTAGCATTTTAGAGTTTACAAAATACCTTTGAAAAAGCATGCCATTTAAAATCCACTTGGTTATCCGGGTATCATCAGATAATCCGCTTGGTTATCTGTGGTGAAAGTGAAGCCCCAAGAGGCTACTAGTAAGGGACTGTTCTAAGGTCATGCAGCTGGTAACTGACTGACATGCCAAAATCTGAACCCAGATCTTCAGATACCAAGTTCAGTGAACCTGAGACGATTCCGTAGCTGCCTCCCTAAATCAGCTGATCCTTCATTCAAAGTTGTAAGTTCTTACTCAACCTAAAGAAATCATTCTGATGTGTCATCTGCAAAGTTCTTTAAGAAATAAAAATGAGGTCTCTACAAGATACTTACCTCTTGTGCAAACGACTCTGCTTTTTTCCGAAGGTCCTTCTCCAGTTCCAAGTTCACCTGCATTTCCTCATACTCTTCTACTGCTAGCATGGACACTTAAGAAGACAAGGAAAGGGAAACGGACAATATGCCACCCAGATGATCAGGAATATGGGTGAAAAACAGTGCTTAAAAGATTCTTTCTACAGCACGCTCAACCACTGCTGGTTGGAATATAAAATGATAAAGCCTTTTGGAGGGCAATGTGATTCAAAAATCTAAAATTATTCATACTCCTTGACTCAACAATTCCACTTTTAGGAATGTCTTTATTCTCCTAAGAGAGAACATATATGGAGACTTAGTGGGAGGGCTGCTCTCTGCATTGCTGCTGAAAAAAGTAAAATAATCTAGATGGCCTAGCATGGAAGGATCAGTGAAGTCTGGTATGTACAGGAAATATTATTCTGCTATCAAAATTATATTGCAGAGGCATGTTTATTGGATAGAAAGACATTTGTGACATATTAAAGAGTTCATTTTTGTTTTTTAAAAGCCACGTTCTAAACACATCCACAAGGCATTTCACAGAAGAGGACACATATAAAAGGCCCCTAAACACGTGGAAAATACTCATCTTCATTAGTAACCGGCGAAACGCAAAGTAAAAACACAGATACCTTTTTAGACTCACCAAAGAGGCAACTGGCAAAAATGAAAGTACACATTGAGTGTGGAGATGATAGGGAACACATACATGGCTAACGGGAGTGTAACCCTATAGATCTACTTAAAAAGTAATTTGGCCTTAGGTGGTGAAATAAAGATAACATTTTACATTTGTCGTATATCTTGCTAAAACTCTTAGACATGTGCACCAGGGGACATGTATAAGAATTGTCCTAACAGCATGACTTGGAATAGTAAAATACGGAAAAAATAAAAACCCTCCAATATCTACCAATAGGATAGTGGATAAACGAATCCTGGTATAGACTTGGAATGAAATATGATACACCCGTAAAAATAAACACCACGGCAGAGCCCCTCACCATGGACGAACCTCAAAACACAAAGCTGAAGAGGTACATGGGCGAAAATATGCCATTTTTATAAAGTCCCAAACACGCAAAATTAAACAATATGCTGTCTGGGGACACATACGTATTTGGCAAAACTGTAAGTAAAAGAAATGATAAAACTCCAAGGGAGGAGACGGAGTAGAAAAGGCTGTTCGTGGGCTCGTAAGGTACTAATGGGTAAATAGAAACTTCCTCTGCTGGTATCTTGTCTTCCACAGATGCTATAAACATATTTAACAATTTAATGGATATACAGGCTTTTTCAGATGGTTAGAATATACACTAAAATGTTAACATGCTTTTCTCTGCACTGGAAAGACTGAGAGTCCCCCCCCCCCTTTTTTCTGTATGAATCTATAACTTTCCACCAAAATAAAAGTACACAAGTAAATAAAAAGAAAAATAGGCATAAGTTATGTTAAAGTGTTCTCCGAGTACACAAACGAGAGAGAGAGAGAGAGAGAGAGAGAGAGAGAGAGCCTGATGGCCATTCGGGCCCAGAGGCAGAGCGTGGCTTTAAAGTCACGATAGGACAGACATCTTCCAAGGGAAAATCGTGTGAAAGACGAGCAAAGCAATGACACTTTATGACCTTTTGTGCTCTATTCTGTGAAATGATGATAGAGGCAAGACCGGATTTTTTTTACCGGAGGGAGGGAGGGGGGGGGGTGTGAGACGAAGCCATTGCACGACGTAGACAGATATCGCTCCGGTCTCTCCACCTGCATGTGGTGAAGCTCTTTTGATCCTGAGCCCAGTCCGAGCCACACAATCTTTTCAAAGGCTTCCCTAATGGCTGCTTTCAAACAATGTTCCGCCGGGGCACTCAGTCCTAACTGACTAAGGACTGGTTTGCTGTGTAATGACATAGAATTTCAAACTCCGTACTCGGTGAATCTACTGCCTACCCAGGGGAAAGACTAATAGTCTTACTCAAGGGAAGCAATATAAGAGGTGGTTTGGGATGTGAATGACAGGCCCCTGGGTTATTTTCAAACCTATTTAAAAGAGACATTTCATGAGGAGAACAAAGAAGATTCTACTACAACTATCTGAAGCCTGGGACAGAATAATTGACACGCTTTTCTGCGTCCAGAACACTATAATAAGAAGTGAATTTCACCTGGTCCTTCTTCCCTGGATTCTGAAAGCACTGTTTGGTTCTAGTCATGCATTTATTATATAAACTCTCTGTCTCTCCCTGGAATGGGGGTCGGGGGGAGGAGGTTAGGTTGTCTCTGAAGGCAAGATCCACATGCTAACCATTGTGGAACCCTCTTTCTAGCACAGTGCATCCAAATTAGAAAGTCTTCTACACTATTTCTATCTTCTGAAAGGTAGAAAGAGTTGAGGCAATGTCACAATGGAGTGCATCTCCCACACACTTAACTACAAGGTTCTTTATTAAAAAATCCCAGGTCATGAATAATGCAAAGATGGAGAACTCCCATGAACAGGGGCGACCCTGGATCTGAAAGATTTGCTTTTAGTGTTGTACCTTCTGCACTCGGAAAGAAGGGGGAAAAAAGAGGACAAAACCATAGTAAGTCCGCTCTCTTGGGTTTTGCGTTTCAAAATGAGTGGGCCTTGTGTTTCTTAAGTAAAAGCACTTGTAAATGTCCCAAGACTCAAAAGCGGGGGGTAGAATCGAATTGAGAGAGACTCCTTGCTATGAGTTAGGAGAACACAATACAGGAGAAGATTCTTGCTGCAAGAACCTTTAGGCACAGGTATAAGACAACCCGAAATCTATGTACACAAAATAAATTACACATGTACTTGAGAAACAAAGAGTGGAAACACATACCTCTATTGCATTTTTCTAAGACTTTTCTCTGTTCAAGGACTTCTGAATTTAAAGCATCTTTTTCTTGCTTCACTTTATTTACCTAGAAACATGAGATTTTGAGGGGAGAAAGCACCCACAGCGGTAAGACAGGACATATGGCGATGTGTGATACTCAAGTTGCTGTTCAACTTTCAACAGGAAACTAACACTGTAAAGTAGTGATTGGCCTCACTGCATAGGCTTGTATTACAGCTCTTCGTAGAGCCTCGAAGGTCGCTACTTCAGCTAGGATGGACAACTGGCAGAGAATGTATTTACATATTCCAACTGGCCTTGGCATTGGGCCCCAAACATGGTAGTGCTCTAAGTGGCCAGTGTGAATGGTTCATAGTTTTAATGCAAAAATCCAACTAGAGAGCACTTGGAAAATACATGAATCATTTAGAGAGCCAATACTCAATTTTGGTATTTCTTTTAAGTTTTGATGCTATTTGGCTTAAGTAAAACATCCATGAATTTTTGAAATAAAAAGTATTTTCAACTTGGATGACTGTTGGCTAAAATAGAATACATATGATAATTTTCCCCAACAACTTCTGAAATAACTGTTGGCATCTATCAATAGGAGAAGAGAATATCATAGACAGTTAAAAACAAAAATGTAAAGCTACATGTATCAAAGCGGATAAATCTCAAATTCCATTTTGTGGAATTAAAAATGCAGGGTGTGAATATAGCTTTAAAACACTCCAAGCGCTATGGATTGTAGTACAAATGTCAGTTCGTGCATTGCCAAGATAAAACCAAAGTTCAGAAGAGTAGCTGTTTGGGGAAATGCAATTGGGGAGAGAGAGAGATGCCACGGTTTCAACACTACTTTCATGTTTTATGTATTAAGCTAGATTGTAGGCACATAGATGTTCATTATTTCGCTTTTAATATTTTTCAAGTGTCTGAAACAGTCCTAACAAAAACAACTTCTGAATTGGCTTCCAACCCCACCTCTCAGTGGCAGGGAGAGAATCCCCGATAATCATAACTGAGGAATGGCGTGCATCGAAGTGTCTGAAACAGTCCTAACAAAAACAACTTCTGAACTGGCTTCCAACCCCACCTCTCAGTGGCAGGGAGAGAACCCCGATAATCATAACTGAGGAATGGCGTGCATCAGAATGCGTTTCCTGTCTCTCTCCCATGGTTACACTCACGAAACAAACCAAGATCACGATCCCGAAGGGCCTCCGAATCCAGCAGTACTTCGGAGCGTCTCTGAACTGATTTCTTTGGGTGTAAGCTGTATTTTTTATTTTGGTTTCAATTAGTAACTGGTATAACACGGCCACCAGGAATGCTATTTCCAAAATGCCATCGTCCTTCTCCCCATTCATTCGGATGTGTTGTCACAATCCATGAAAGCACCCGGTTGGTGGGCACTGCTTCCCAGTCTCTTTCCCATGATGGCCCTTAAGAAAGCGATAGTATGTGTCTGGGCACTGAGGTCATTGGAGGAGGCTGCTCGCTGAAGGGGATCAATACCCTGGCCCCCTTGTCAGCCCTCGGAGGGATATCAAGGGGCTACAGCACATCGATTGGGAAGCTCTGGGCTACAGGATCTGAGAACCATTGACAGACGTCAGGTCGAGATTGCAAAGGCAGATCCTTGAAGCCTCGTGCAAAGAAAGGCAATTGTGTACTCCTGCTCTTGAAGACAATTGACAAGGAAAAGGAAGAAGTTTCTCCAAACACCTACTTGAACCATTCTACCACCTAGCACGGTGGTTCTCAACCTTCCTAATGCCGTGATCCTTTAATATAGTTCCTCATGTTGTGGTGATCCCCAACCATGAAATATTTTCATTGGCTACTTCATAACTGTCATTTTGCTACTGTTATGAATCATCATGTAAATATCTGATATGCAGGATGTATTTTCATTGTTACAGATTGAACATAATGAAAGCATAGTGATTAATCACAAAAACAATATGTAATTATATATGTGTTTTCCAATGGTCTTAGGCGACCCCTGTGAAAGGGTCGTTCGACCCCCAAAGGGGCCACGACCCACAGGTTGAGAACCGCTGACCTAGCATATGGGCCTGGGTTGGAGGTACATGGGGACAGCCTTTCCCAATGGAGCCAGCCCTTCACTGGAGAAGCGGCACACTTCTTCACCCGCGGTGATAGAGTGTCTGACTTAAACTCAAGACACCACTCCCACAAATCTGCCTCCTGTAGTGAAGTCTGAGGGGCAATAGAGAACACTTAATGCTACTTTCATGTTTTATTTATGGAGCTAGGTAGTGGGTATATGAATGCTCATGGTCTTACTCTCTACACCCTTTGGTATGTGGGGAGCAGATCAGGATTAGTACTTGGTTCACACGTCAGACATTGGCTTCCAGTGGCAATTTTTAACATGGCTAGTCCCCAAACACCTTGAAAACACCAAAATCTGACCTTTCAGGCCCAAGATACATACTTCTTCAATTACTTCCGCAAGTTTGCTCTTGAGATTTTCTAGTTCGATGGCTAATATCTTCTTTTCCTCCTGAACGGACACAATTTGATCCCGGAGTTCTGCATTTTTAAAGGGGGAAAAAAAAAAAAAAGGAGGGGACATGTATACAAATAAACGTATTTTTAAAAGAGGAAATCAATCTTGTCCGAAGAATTGAAAATGCCAGCCCATGGGCAGTGCATGGTCAAGGTCATTTAACAATTAAAAGGAAAATGAAGAAGCAAAGGATGATGGAAATCTAGCTTTCAAGCCCCCCAACACAGCCATGGTTATTAATAACTTTATATCAGGCAAACTCACTGTGTTAAATGTACCAGATCATGTTTTCTTTGCATTCCAGCAAACCCACATTCAAGAAAACGATCTGGCATTTCAGAAGCAAAATTGCTTAAGCTTTTAGCAAAATAAATTAAGGCATTGCAGTAACTCCTTTTTTATTTTATAACGGCCATGGACTCGTGTCACAATACAATATAAACAACTGGGCAGTTAATAATTTGGAGATTTTGATTTGAAGAAAAATCCTGATTTTCTGCCAATTTATAGCCTTAAACATTAGTTGAACTGACTCAAAATATAACCTATTTGAAAAAGGGTTAATTCTAGTAATTTTCTCTCCAGAGTTGTGGGTGTTTTGTTTCTTAATTTATTTCATATTTGCTAGTACGAGGATTTAATGAAAACTGTGTTACTGGAATGAAAATATTAGTGACTGTAAGTGCAAAGCTTAAAGTTACTTCCGCCACTCAAATGTTAAAAAGACATGTACATGGATTATTAGCACAGGGTCCTCAAATTTATATCCAGGCTTCTGGTTTTGTCACTGAGTTTTGAACTACTCTTAATTTCTTACCCTCCTGCCAGGACAGTAAGAAACCCATTATGTGGTTATTTATAAGTTAAATCAAACTTTTTGCACGAACCCAGCTTGAAGGAATTCTCAGAGACTTATTTCAAAATCACTCTCTCTACTGGTTGGCCACTCCTGAAGGAAGAACAAGAGACCACACTGTTCAAGACCCAACAGAAGGGAGGATTGTGGACAAAAGAACATCCTTTAACCTTCCCCTCTCTCTCCTCACCAACATAAATCTTATTTTGTCCCAGGTTAAGGGAGCGGAGAGTCAGTTAAAGATGACTTTCTGTAGACAGTCATCCCTGGGTATCCACAAATACTGGCTCCAGGACCCCTTCAGATAGCAAAATCCACGAACGCTCAACTCCTCTACATAAAACGGCGTATTATTTGCACACACCCTAAGCACGTCCTCCGGTACACTTTAAATAATCTCTAGATATAATCTCTCATACAATGTAAATGCTAGGTAAATAGTTCTTACATTGTATTGTTTAAGAAAAAAGCTCTGTACATAGTCAGTACAGATGCAACCACCTTAGGTCAAACTACACTGTACCTGTCAGCAACAACATAACATTTCCCCCCCAAATATTTTCTATCTGCCGTTGGTTGAATCCACGGATGCGGAAGCCACTGATATGGAGGACAAATATTTTCTATCTGCCGTTGGTTGAATCCACGGATATGGAGGGCTGACTGTACTTTCTCCTTGAACTTCCACCTGAAGTGTTGCCTACCAAGCTAACAAGTATTGCTTCTGAGGTGTGCGCTAACCACAAGTACCCCACTGGTTATTGAACCAACATCTGCTTTTCGATGTCTTTCACTTCCACAATGTATCTATGAATAAAATAAATGTGTATTTAATAGATGTATCATGTGACCTTGCCTGCTAATTAACGCAGTTTTTTCATACTGCGTATTGCGTACAGCTCGTTGCCTGAATCCCATGACACATTCTTTGAGGGCAGAGACTAAGCGATTTGGGGAGGAATCTTCCCTGAAGATTCCAACAGGGAACCACAACCAGGAGCTGTTGACTACAGATATTTTTATTCACTCTTTCACTGCATTATAATTTCACCAAAAATATCTTAACATACAGTCCATACTCTTAAGAAGTTTATAGACGAACTGGGCTGTTTGTCAAGACAGTGCTTTCAAAAGGGCCTAGTCCCAAACAAGAAAGCAACTCATGAAACACAAAGGTGAGAGCCTATCTTGACTTTCAACCACGCTCCACGTGAGGACACTGAAATCAGAATTTTCTCAAGGTAAAACCCAGGCATCAGTATTTCTTAAAGTTCTCGTGTGATTCCAATGTGCAACCCGGGTTGGGAAACGTTATCGAAAACAAGCTCAATAATTAAGCCCCGGGTCCCACCTTTGATCTGCTTCTGGCACTGCACCGAGACACATGGCTCAGCGGTAGCCTCTGGATCCGTAGTTGGTTCTTCATCATCAATGTTGATCTCTTCGGTTATTACATCTGGTCCCAGCTTGGCCATGTATAACATGCTGATTCTTTTCAATGTCTTGTTTTCTTTATTTAGCTAAGGCAAAATGTAAAAACAGTGATTTTAACAGCAGTCAAATGAGTATCTTGGGTTTCTAAACAACAGACAAGTGAAGGGCACTTCTGTCTTACATACTCATCAACATTCACAGCAGGAAATAACAACTAGAAGATTCATGAAAGAAGGCTTTTATTTACACTTTTAACATTAAAGTTGTTACTTTAAGTAAGACCTGATGCCTGGGTTACAGCCAGCAGTATGTGAGAATGCTAATTGTCACTGATAAGAAATATAAGAGGAATTAAGATCAAACACCAGCACAGATTAAGCCCAAAATCAGTTTGATTGTCTTAAGTAAGGCACTTAATTTCAAGCAAATGTTTTCTTTGTTGCTGTGCTGTGAACACTCTTTAAAGGTCTGTTTGCCCAGCATTCCCCTGTTCTGGTACTGCCACTCTTCTCCCCTGTTCCACGTGATTCCCATGGGAACAGCCTCGATCCCCAAAACACATCCTATCTCTTTGGCCATAGCTACTTAGACCAGGGATTAGGCACAGGGCCCAAGCTTGGGCAGCTGGACCCCTTCTCTAGAAATCTGGAGGCTGGATCAGAGAGATGAGCTTCTTTCCATAGGTCTGGATGTACAGAAGCTATTCGTGACCACATCCCACTGCTGGATCGAGGAAGTGAGGAAGGCGGTCTGTATGTAGCCACGCCCAAAATGGAGCTGATGTGTAGAGAGAGGCAGAGAAAAGCAGTGGAGATAGGGTTTCCCACATGGCTCCAGCCCATTCTTGAACTGTGTCTAGCACACAGAATGGATGGGATTCTCCAATCCTTCTGTAACAAATCCCTGCTCTTTTCTTCTCTTGCTTAATTAAGCCAGTTCAAGATGTGTTTCTATCTGTACAGAGTTCTAATGATACACAAGAAAAGAAAGTTCAAAATAGGTTCCCATTATTTCTATAAAAAGAGTTCGAATTCATAGCAGAGAAAAGGAATCCTAATTCATTGAGGTATCTGTTATTCATTAATGTAGAAATGAGTTGTTTTTTAGTGTTACTCAACTATCATTACCTTCTTTAGCTCATGTGTTTGTGTGCATATAAAATGTTAGTACAATGCACACACAAAGAGCAGCCGTGGTCCAAAGTCCACAGGAGGGAAACATGGTGTTGCTGATGTTTTCTCTTCTTAAGACTAAAAAATAAAGTCCTCTCTTACTTGAGTACATGAAAGTATTGACAAGATTGAGTTTTCTAGTTAAAATGTAAGACAGAAATGCAAACATATTTCCTTTAGTAAGGGCTATTAATCATCAAGATGTGTTCTGAATTAATAACTGACACTGAAAAGAAATACAAACAGAAGCATTATTCATTGGAAAGCATCCTGCCCTTCCCTACTGTGTACCTTACACCAGAATAAGATGTTTAGTCCTCTACTTGTCTGGCTTTGGCCCTTCATCTATGATCATAATTTGAATCCCTCGGGGAATCTCTCAGGAAAGCCCAGCCCATTCCAACTGGGAGAGCTAGTTCCTCCCCAATAATATTAAATCTAAATATATCTCAAGTAGCTGCTCTAGAGCACAAGAGGTGCTTCCTCTCTGGGGAATCAGGAAGAATCTCCTAGAAACGGCTTGGAAGCCTCCATGGATTCTTCCTGGGAAGCCTGGAGAGATCTACTCAGGGAATCAGACACAGCCTTTATTCCCTATCTCCAGCCCACAGCCCCGGCTTCTAGCTCCCCAGATTACATCAGAGGATCAGGAGGCCCATGATTTCCCAACCCCTCTTCCTGAAAATGGAAAATTCAATTCAACACTGTTTGGGGTGGGGGTAGTCTTTGAACCATGAACCCTACAGCATACCTAACTCTAGAGGCTCAAAGGTCCTGGTCAATTCTCAAGCAAAGCATTTTTTTTCCCCTGAATGTTAGAAAAAAAATAACAATTGAAGGAAAAATTGGGGGGAAAAAAACTCTCAAAACTTAATTTGTAATTCTGCATCCTAACATTTAAACAAATGGTCCCAAACTCTGCACACCAGAATCTCTACAGAGCTTTTTAAAAGTCCCAATGCACAGGCCCTCACCAGACCAAACTCTGTGGTGTGGCCCAGCACAGAGCTTCCCAGGTGGCTCCAATGCACAGCAATACTGAGAATCATGGATGTAGAGCAATGCAACGCTTTACCATGCATTTCTATAAAATCAGCACAGCAGAGAAAAGAACCAGCTCTACAATCAAATCGCCTCTGCTTCCAGAATAACCTAAGTTCAGTGTCGGTTTTCTAATCAGCAAACTAAGGATAAAAACCGTCTCTATCAAGGGAACACTCGTGCACTGCTGGTGGGAATGCAGACTGGTGCAGCCACTATGGAAGACAGTATGGAGTTTCCTCAAAAAGTTAAAAATGGAACTCCCATTTGACCCAGTGATCCCACTTCTAGGAATATATCCCAAGAAACCAGAAACACCAATCAGAAAGGATATATGCACCCCTATGTTCATAGCAGCACAATTTACCATAGCTAAGATTTGGAAACAGCCTAAGTGCCCATCAGTAGATGAATGGATTAGAAAACTGTGGTACATCTACACGATGGAATACTATGCTGCTGTAAAAAAGAAGGAACTCTTACCATTTGCAACAGCATGGATGGAACTGGAAAGCATTATGCTAAGTGAAATAAGCCAGTCAATGAAGGAAAAATACCACATGATCTCACACATTCATGGATAATAGAGACCATTACAAACTTTTGAACAATAATAGATACAGAGGCAGAGCTGCCTCAAACAGATTGTCAAACTGCAGCGGGAAGGCTGGGGAGGGTTGGGGGGCAGGAGGGAAGGGGGTAAGAGATCAACCGAAGGACTTGTATGCATGCATATAAGCATAACCAATGGACATAAGACACTGGGGGGTAGGGGAGGCCAGGGGATTGTCAAGGGCGGGGAAAAAAAAGGACAC